AGCTGCACTGTGACAAGCTGCACGTGGATCCCGAGAACTTCAAGGTGTGTCTGTGGGACCCTCAATGTTCTCCTTCATCTCCCTTTTTAAGGTCAAGCTCATGGTGTCCAGAAAAGGTATGGGTGTTAGGTGCTTTCTAGAGGGTGAAGGAGATATTCTAATAGCATCAGTATGGACTCCTCAGGACTGTTTTTATTTCTTTCACCCTCTTGCTCACAGTTGCTTCCTCTTGTTCTCTGCAATGTGTTTTCTTTATTGTTTTGATTAAACTTTTGAGTGTTTATTTAAAAGTACATTTAATCCATTCCAAATCATTTTTTCCTAATACTTTTCCCCCTTGTCTCTTCCTTTGAGAGCAAAGAGGATAAAATCTGATTGCTTCTTTGTATATTTGGAAAAAATAGCCATGATAATTTAAGTTCTGAATTAAGGCAGGAGAGAAACATTTCTAAATGTAAAATCAGGCTGATATGATTGAAATCACATAGAGAATAACATCTGAGATCAAGCTATCTTTCTGCTTATATTCTAGGGGCACAGCTTGGGGCTGTGGATGGGGCTGGAATACTCTGAGTCTCAGCTGGGTCTGTCTGCTAACCATGCTCATGTCTCGTGTCTCTTCCCCACAGCTCCTGGGCAATGTGCTGGTGTGTGTGCTGGCCCACCACTTTGGCAAGCAATTCACCCCACAGGTGCAGGGTGCCTTTCAGAAGGTGGTAGCTGGTGTGGCCAATGCTCTGGCCCACAAATACCACTGAGCTCCCTTTCCTGCTTTCCAGGAAATGTCCCTTGGTCCCCAGAACCTAACATCTGAACATGGGGAAATTGTGAAGTGCTTTGAGCACCTGGCTCCTGCCTAATAAAGAACATTTCTTTTCATTGTACTGGTGTATTTAAATTATTCCTGTGTCTCTCCTTGGAGTTGTTACAGGACATGGGAGGACAAGGAGTTTAAGACATAAAGAAATGAGGGGCTAGTTCAGATCTTGGGAAAGCATATCTATATTTCAGACTCCATGAAAAGAGAGGTGGTAAATAGCTGAGCATGTGGGAAACAGACCCTGCTGTCAATTTTAACTTTCCCTTAGAAAGGGATTCAAGTTGAGGCTCGATTTGGGGGTTAGACTTTTCATATGCTTTATTTAAATCAAGTCTTTATTTAGCTTTCCTTATAAATGTCCTCCCTCTTCCCAGTTGTCCAGAACCTCATAACCCTCAATCCACTAAGTTCATCTGCCTGGAGACACCACTGTTCCTCTCTGATTTTCCTGCATGTTTTGCTGTCTCATTACTTGTCCTGCCCATCACTCTTATCCTGGTTCCCTCCATCTTCTTACAGCAGAGACCCCCATGAAGGTCCCAAAGCAGGAGAGCGAGTTTCACTGCCTCTTCCCTACTGCCTTTCATGGACTGCATTGGAAGGAAGCAATTGGTAATGTTTTGTTCAATATATGGCTAAGGCAAATGTACAAAGGAGCTTCTGATGGCTTGATATTCACTGCTGTCTTGCAATGTTATCATGAGTTTATGGCATCCCCTTCTTCTGAGGATGCTTTAGCATGCGTAACCAGGAAGTGATTAGAGGCCTGCTTCCACCTCCTCCTCTTTCTGATGCCTCTGATGCCTACTGTGCCTTTCTAGTTATTAGCACGGTGTTACCAACAGCAACATACCCTGATTTTATTACCTCAGTCACTGGCCACCTATGTGGATGCTGGATGCTGGAAATAAAATGACTTTGAAGTGGTCCTTGTCCCTTCACACATTCTAATTCTGTATATAGTTAGGAAGACCATAAAAGTATTGCTACTAATAAGGAAATTAATTGATTAAATTAATATGCAAACAATCTTCACCTAAACACAGAATGGAGATGAATACAAGGTGTCTTTATAAATACATAAATGAGAATTCTCTAAGGATCAGAGGAGCCAGAAGTGTGCCTTGGTGACAAGTTTGGTCATCCTCTGAAGGGGTCCCCACATTTGATATTGACCTGAGTGTTAGGACTTTGCATGCAGAGAGACCATGGAAGAGCAGAGGTCCTGTAGATCTGGATACAGTGAGGATTGGTGTTGATAGAGGAAGGCATAAAAGTAAAGTGGAAAGAAGAGTCATGAAAGCATCTAAGAGAAAGCAGACTACACATGCCAGCTGGGCATCAGAATGAGGTGGGGGAGTGGGCAGGCAGGGACGTGGGTGGTCCAGGAGGTCAATGAAAGGCCTGAGGATGGATGGAAAACTATTATACTAAATAATATTAAATGGCCCAGATTCTATAACTGGTGAGGATTCTATTAACAGAGCACTCTGTTTAAGCAGAATTGTGTAAAATTATTTAAGCTAAAGATGGATTTATTATGGAAACAAACTCATCAGATATGTAACTCCAGTTTTCACTTGTATTGCTAGGTTTTACATCTTACCATCCAAATTCTCAAGTGTCCCCTCCCTGCTTTTGCTTCTTTTAATTACTAGTATTATAAAAAAATGTAACATTAAGATTGCGAAAGGGTCAGTAAACATTACTAATTAACAAATCAATAAGCACCACCTTATAGCTATTAGACCAGGGGTATAGTGTCTCCAAGAGAAATATGCCCAGCTCTGACAAAAGTTGGTATTATCTGGCTGGTTCTATTCCAGTACTAACATTAGCTGGAGGCAGAGAAGGATGAAAGAGAGGGACAGAGTACACGGCATGTGTATGTCATTTGTAGAGATTACTATTCTTGTTTGAAAGTCATGTAACCTCAGGGACAGGAGTCTCTCACGTTAATAGCCATCAAACAGTACGGAACAATCTCAGGTATTCACATTCATAAAATGGGTAAGGGCCAGAGTTGCTCCAAAATTACTCTTCCTTCGGCAATTTCCTTTATAAAGTTACTGATTTCTCTCCTAGGACTGATTTTTTATTTTCTGATTGTTTGTCTCCGGATGTTATTAAAATGAATACATTTACTAAGTTCTTACAACTAGATGAGAAAGGGGATTCTCACATAGATGTGAGGGATTGACATTAGAACTGAACAGGACCTGAGATTTTGTCACAACTAATCTAGTTGAAGGGGAATTAACTGGCTGAGAATACACAAGATTTCTATCCATTTCAGAGAGAACACTTTGACAGTGGTTCAGTGGATCCAGGAGGTCTTGATGCTATAAATGACAGGGTTCATCAGCAGTAGAAAGAGGATGGACACTTTCCCCTGATGATATGGGTGAAGGAGGAGGAATGCCTTACAAACTTGTGAACAATGGAAGGGCCTAGCACAGGGACTTAAAGTATCAGGGCAGTCAGAATATGAGATACACACTGGTGTGAGAGATTTGAGTGGCTCCCTGCAGGAGGCCATGGCCATTGCTGCTCTGAGAATCAGAATATAAGAAAGCACTATTAAAAGGAAGTCTAGGCCCATGTGAAGCAAGATGACCAACAAAGCATAAAGGCTGTTGATCCATGAGCCAGAGCAGGGGAGTTGGATCATATCCTGGTGTAGACAGTAGGGGTGAGAAAGTGT